GTCTGAAGGGCACAAACATTTTGTAAATGTTAATTATTTAAATTATTATAATAAAGTGAACATGTCAGACAGGGTCAGGTCTCTATGTCTTATAATGGTACAAATTGATTGGTTACTGATTATAGGTTTAGATTGTTTTGAAACAGTAACTTTTTTCTGAATGAGATTTTTCAATGCGGTGTGTATCACATACTTTGAAAAACACCCAACATTACTGCTCTTAAAAGATACGTAATAATGGTGGGCCAGAACGTCTGGAATTTTTTGATTAAAATATTTTAAGATAATTAATATAAAACTGTAATTCAGACCATTGCTACAGGTTTAGAATAATATGTGATAAGAGTTGTAGCTCGCATTCAGAGACTTGTTATTGATGTTGTTGTGACCTGGTCACAATTTTAATCTTTTGTCCAAACTTCCCATGAATAAAACAAGAAAAACAGAGTATGGGGTCAGTGTAATCTTGAGTCTCTTGGATAAGAGGTGTTATGAGACTGCAAAGTATGATTAACATAATCTACTTATCTCTAGATATTTTATAAATACTAATTAACTTGTAATCTTTTGGGGAACAAGTTAAGCATATATTATTAGAATCTTCTGGGGATGAGTTGGCTGTGAAGCTAAGCGGCAATACAGATCACAAAGCATTTTTATATCCCAGCAGGACTGGAATGAATGATGCTTAACTCCTTCTGAAAACACTGTCAATCTGTTTACTCATCAGGGCAAATCTCTTGACTTTTCTTACTCATAGATTTCCTCTACACTAACAATTGTTACAGAAGTTTAGGTATACTTTAGTCCTTTCCAGAAGTGGGAGATAGACTTAATGAATTCTATCCATACATTTCTTCCTTGAGAGTGGCTATTTTATTCATAGTAAGAAACACGTATTCAGCCACATATCATTATCCTTTCTTCTATTAGGTATTAAGTATTAGAACTGTATTAGATATTAGAACATTCATTATATAATGTGCATATTTTAGGTACTCAGAAATAATTGAATTAAACTGTAAGTTATGCAGTGTAAATGTCTGTTCACCTCAGGATAAAGACATTTATCACTTTATCTTATTCTAACAATAGTAGGCTAATTTGCCCCCAATAAATTTAGTGTTTAGTTTCAAACATTCTTAAATACCTTTTTTAAAAAAATTTTATTTAAATTCAATTTAGTTAACATATTCTGTATTATTAATTTCAGGGGTAGAATTTAGTGATTCATCAGTTGCATATAACACCCAGTGCTCATTCCATCAAGTACCCTTCTTAATGCCCATCACCCAGTTACCCTATGCCCTCACCCACCTCCCCTCCAGCAACCTTCAGTTTGTTTTCTAGAGTTAAGAGTCTCTTATGGTTTGTCTCCCTCTCTATTTTCATCTTATTTTATTTTCCCTTCCCTTCCCCTTTGTTCATCTGTTTTGTTTCTTAAATTCCACATATAAGTGAAATCATATGGTATTTGTCTTCCTCTGACTGACTTATTTCACTTAGCATAATACCCTCTAGTTCCATCCATGTCATTGCAAATGGCAAGATTTCATTCTTTTTGATGGCTGAGTAATATTCCATTGTGTGTGTGTGTGTGTGTGTGTGTGTATGTGTTTGTGTGTACCACATTTTCTTTATCCATTCATCTGTCGATGGACATCTAGGCTCTTTCCATATTTTGGCTATTGTGGACATTGCTGCTATAAACATTGGGGTACATGTGCCTTGAATCACTATTTTTGTATCCTTTGGATAAATACCTAGTAATGTAATTGCTGGGTCACAGGGTAGCTCTATTTTTAACTTTTTGAGGAAACTCCCTACTGTTTTCCAGAGTGGTTGCACCAGTTTGCATTCCCACCAACAGTGTAAGAGGGTTACCCTTTCTTTTCATCCTCGCTAACTTCTGTTGTTTTCTGAGTTGTTAATTTTAACCATTCTGACTGGTGTGGGGTATCTCATTGTGTTTTTGATTTGTATTTCCCTGATGCTGAATGATGTTGAGAATTTTTTCATGTGTCTGTTAGCCAATTTGTATGTCTTCTTTGGAGAAATGTCTATTCATGTCTTCTGCCCATTTCTTGACTGGATTTTTTGTTTTTTGGGTATTGAGTTTGATTTTGAATACTAACCCTTTATCCAATATGTCATTTGCCAGTATCTTCTCCCATTCCATAGGTTGCTTTTTAATTTTGTTGATTGTTTCCTTTGCTGTGCAAAAGCATTTTATCTTGTTGAAGTCCCAATAGTTCATTTTTGCTTTTGTTTCCCTTGCCTTTGGAGACGTGTCTAGCCAGAAGTTGCTGTGGCTGAAGTCAAAGAGGTTGCTGCTTGTGTTCTCCTCTAGGATTTTGATGGATTCCTGTATCACTTTTAGGTCTTTCAATATCTCTGGCTGTTGTTTAAAATTTACATTCTACATTTCTGTTACCCAAGTTGAAATGGTATTTTTCTCGGACATGAATGAGGTTTGTTTTGTCATTAGATAACCTAGTTTTTCTAAGAATCAGAATCTGGTGTGCTAACTCTTCCCACAAAATGGCTTCCCTGGTTTTGATATTCCCACTCTGCACTGAAGGGAACAGCGGACCTGAGGAATGAAATCAGATACTATCCAAAGCCACTCTGCAGGGTCCCTGACTCTGATAATGGCTTAATCTTAGATTGAGTGGAGTTTAGAATGCACTTAGTTTTTACCTCCCTTCTCTTGCTAGAAGGAAGGTGGAATCATGAGGTTCTCAATAACATGGTATTATGTTGGAGTCAAGCACAGACTATGAGCCAGAATGGCTGGATTAGTGTTCTAGCAACTCTAGTTATTAGCTGTGTGACCTTGGGATAGTTACTCAACCGCTCTATGCCTCAGTTTCCTTATGTATAAAAAGAGGATGATAATAGTATCTATCTCATAGGGTTGTTCTGAGAATTAAAATGATGCTTAGAATAGAGTTCAAAGTGCTGGATATCATGATTATTGATTCTTTCCTGGAAGTTATGTAAAAAGTCCTGCATATACTTTGGTTTTGTTGCCTTTATTTTGGTGTCACATCCAAGAAATCATTACCAAGACCTTTGTCAAGGAGCTTTCTCCTATGTCTATGGCCATACCACCCTGAACACATCCAATCTCATCTTTCGTGTTTTCTTTGAGCAGTTTTACTGTTTTGGGTCTTATGTTTGGGTATTTAATCCATTCTGAGTTGATTTTTGTGTATAGTGTGTCATAGGGGCCCAATTTCATGTGGGGCCCTTTTTACATGTGGATATTCAATTTTCCCAACACCATTTCTTGAAGAGACTATCCTTTCCTCATTACATATCCTTGGCCCCTTTGTCAAAGGTAAGTTGACTATATATATGGATTTATTTCTGGGCTCTCTATTCTTTTTACTGAGGTAAAATACACAGAACACAAAATTATTATCTTATCTATTTTAAAGTATACAATTCAGTGGTATTGAGTACATTTATAATGTTGTGCAACCAACATACATCGCTATACTGTTTTCATCTTGTAAAACTTAAACATACCCATTAAACAATAACTCCCCATTCTCTTCTCCCCAGCCCCTGGCAATCACCATCCTACTTTTTCTCTTTATGAATTGGTCAACTCCAGGTACCTTATATAAGTGGAATCATATATTATTTGTCTTTTTGTGACTGGCTTATTTTACTTAACATAGTGACTTCAAAGATTCATCCATGTAGTAGCATGTGTCAGAATTTCCTTCCTTTTTAAAGGCTGAATAATATTCGATTGTATGTATACACCACATTTTGCTTATTCATTCTTTGTTGATGATCACTTGGGTTGCTTCTACATTTTAGTTGTTGTGAATGATGCTTGGAACATGGGTGTACAAATATCTTTTCAAGATCCTGCTTTCAATTCTTTTGGGTATGTACCAGGAAGTGGAATTGCAAGAACATATGGTAATTCTATTTTCAATTTTTTGAAGAACTGCCATACTGTTTTTCATAGTGGCTGAACCAGTTTGCATTCCTACCAACAGTGCACAAGGGTTCTAATTTCTCCATATTTTTATGTCTTCCATGCTGTTTTATTTACTGTAGTTTGTAAGGTATTTTGAAATCAGGAAGGGTGATTTGTCCTTTCTCAAAATAGCTTTAGCTATTAAAGGTATTTTTTTGTATCTAGATGAATTTTAGGATTGTTTTTTCTATTTATGATAAAAAATGTCATTGGGATTTTGACAGGGATTGCATTAAGTCTGTAGATTGCTTTGGTAGTATGGCCCTTTAAACATTATTAATCTTTGGGTTCATGAACATGGGATGTCTTTTGATTTGTTTGTGTCTGCTTTAATTTCTTTCATCACTGTTTTGTAGTTTTCAGTGTACAAGTCTCTCATCTCCTTAGTTAAATTTATTCCTAAGTATTTTACTCATTTTGATGCTATTATAAATGGGATTGTTTTCTTAATTTTCTTTTTGGATAATTTATTGTAAGTGTATAAAAATGTAACTGATTTTTAATATTGATTTTGTGTCCTGCAACTTTGCTGAATGTATTTATTAGTTTTAACAGTTTTTGGGTGAAGTCTTTAGGGTTTTCTATATATAAGAGCATGCTATCTGTAAACAGAGACAATTTTGCTTCTTCTCTTCCAGTTTGGGTGCCTTTTATTTCTTTTTCTTGCCTAATTGCTCTGGCTAGGAATTCCAGTATTGAATAAAAGTGGTGAGTGGACATCCTTGCCTTATTCCTGGTATAGAGGAAAAGCTTTCAGTTTTTCACCACTGAGTATATTAGCTGTGGTAATTTCATATATGGCCTTTATGTTAAGTTACATTCCTTCCATACCTAATTTGCTGAGCATTTGTATCATGAAAAGGTGTCAAATTTTGTTAAATGCTTTTTCTGTATCTATTGAGATGATCATATGATTTTTACCCTTCCTTCTGTTAATGTGGTGTATCACATTTATTGCATCCCAGGGATAAATCACATTTGATCATGGTATATGATTCTTTTATGGTGCTGTTGAATTTATTTTGCTAGAGTTTTGTTGAAGATTTTTGCATCTTTATTCATCAGGGATATTGGCCTGTAATTTTCTTTTCTTGTAGCATCTTTGTCTGGCTTTGGTATAAGAATAATGCTGGACTTATAAAATGAGTTTGGAAGTGTTTTCTCCTCTTATTTTTTGGAAGAGCTTGAGAAAGATTGGCATTAATTCTTCTGTAAGTAGAAGAATTCACCAGTGAAACCATCTGGTCTTAGGCTTTCCTTCCCTTTCTATTTTTTGGAACAGTTTCAGAAGAATAGGTATTAATTCTTCTTTAAATGTTTGGTAGAATTCCCCTGGGAAGTCATCTGGCCCTCGGCTCTTGTTTGTTGGGAGATTTTTGATAACTGCTTCAATTTCTTTAGTGGTTATAGGTCTGTTCAGGTTTTCTATTTCTTCCTGGTTCAGTTTTGGTAGTTGATACATCTCTAGGA